TTGTGGTTATAATTAAAAACTATCTTTGGCAATTGGTTAATTTCATTAAACTTTTTGATAGCATTGTATTATTTTATTTTATTTTTTATTATCTTCAAGTAGTTATACATTGAATATTATGACTCTATTTGCCCCCTCTCCTTGACCTCCCCTAAAACCCCAAGTGCTAACTTCCAGGTACTCATTTTGTTTGACTCTAAGTTAGTTGTTCAAAGGTATTTCATCATTGAAAGTGTTCTGTCTACACCATAATTTATTCATGTATATATTTGCATATTGCATTATATATATAATCACACTATAAATATATACAGTTGTGTATATATGCATATGGCCCTCTATATATTTACATGCATTAAGCTGTTTAAAGTCCTAGTATGATTATGAAAATGAGAAAAATGGAAGTTTACTAAAATAGTGTGGTTTGGAATAGATCACTCCTTCAATAGAATTCAATCTTCTTCTATCCAGCCTATAATTTTCTCTTTGGACTTTCTGCTTTGCCCTAGCTCATAACTTAAATTCACTTTGCTTTAATCCCAAGACAAATCAAGTTTTCATGCTGTCTTGTCTGCCCTATAATGACACTGCTTGCCAAGTAAAAATAGGTAGGAATTAAGGTCTCACCAACCATCCTGACATCCCCAAACTATTTACCTGAAGCCTGGTTCATAAATTTAGTAAACAGAATTTACCAAGTATAACACCACAGTTTGGTAACAGATGGTGTGGGTTACAGATGCAATTAATCAATATAAAGCCACACTCATGCTGTCACCTTCTATTGGAAAGAAAGATACACTGGTAAAGTTTCTAAATGTGTTAATTAACCTGGGACTTTCGCTAGGTTTAAAATGCACATTGAGGTCAATGAGTCTCTTGTTACTTAAAGAGGAATTTTAAAAGGAAAAGTATGCGGGGTACATGCATGAGAAGGTGAAATGTATCTTCATTTGATGCCAAACAAGTTAATAATTAAGGAAGACTTTTCTGACTTCCTTCAGCCTTTTGAAACCCTGCCCAGTGGGAAACATTTATCCATTAACAATCTCAACAGGAATGATCAGTGAGAGAAAATGACAATACTATTTATTTAACAAAAAGGGAAAATTTCCATAAAATTTTCTTCTCTTTACTGCATTCAATGTAACAATAATATGTATGAATATGTGACATCTGTTCTATAGATCTTAATGCATAACTTTATTTAAAAAAATAGCAATAGCCTCACAACCTTGATTGCCAAAAAGATAGCCATGCTGCTGTTTGTCATTACTTAATTTGCTCAACATGTTTGATAGAGTTTATTCTGTTCCCATTATGCAAATTGTACAAAACCTCTGTTTGACTTTTCTACTGTAGAGTGCCAGGCTATTTTCCTATGTTATCTGTATTTAACTATTTGGTGCTTTTTTGTTCTAGAGTTTGAATTCAAAGACCTCATACTTGGTGCTGGTGATGCTCTTCCACCAAGGCAACAATGTTCAGCCTACCTTTTTGCTAGTTAATTGGAGATGAAATATCTTAGATTTTTTTTCTGACCAGGCTAGCTTTGAACCATGATCCCCACATCTCAGCCTTCTGAGTAGCTAAGATTACAGGAATGAACCACTGCTCTATTTTGTTATTACAGAATTCTCTCTTCCTTTTAGATCCATATGAGGTGTACTGAATACTACATTGCCCAATCATTCTTACAGCTAGTTGAGTCCACATAACTATTTCTTAATAATGTGATATAAGACTATGTATGGGATTCGACTATAAGCAAAGCTCTTTATATAACTGTGATCTCTCTTTTTCTCTGTCTCTTTAAGAATTCTGATAAAGCTCTAAGAGCCACTGCAATGTAGGAGAAGTTCTAAAGATAGGAGATTTATGCTGTAGATAAAGCACTACATCAGCTTCCTCCAAAGTAACAGACAAACATCCATTGTTCATTAAATAGTGCTGGTTTGCTTTGATGCTCTCTAATTTCAAATGCTGTTTTTCTCTGTTCATCACTAATGAAGGTCCACCCAGATAATAACTCTCTTACTATATCTTTTGCCACACTCCCAGAGAGAGTGGATCATGCTGTGGCCCACACCAGGGAGCACTCATTGCTTATGATTGCTCCTCATCATCCCTGACTGTTTATGTGCTGCTCATAGACCAAGATCTCTCATTTCACCAGCCCCATGTTAATAGCACCCACTAATTTCCTATGTATACAGAGTAATACAATAAATATAACTCAAAGAATATTGTGCATGGTTGTGTTTGGGTGTATTTCTCTGTGTTTGTATGAAGGGCTTGAAATGATCAAAGTTGGTAAATTCAATTTTGTAGCAAAGGCTACACATGGTCAAGTCAGCTTGAAACTTTGTGTGTGCATGTGCATGTTTGTGTGCATGCATGTGTGCGCTTGTATGCATGTGTGTGTTTGTGCATGCGTGTGCTTGTATGCATGTGTGTGTTTGTGCATGTGTGTATGTGTGTGTGTTTGTGTGTATGCCAATACCGGGGCCTGAACTCAGGGACTAGGCACTGTTGCTTAGCTTTTTCACTAAAGGTTGGCACTCAACCATTTGAGCCATACCCTACTTCTATTTCTGGATTTTTAATTTTTTTTATGTTTTTCTGGTGGTTAACTGGAGGTAAGAGTCTCATGTACTTTCCTGCCTAGGCTGGCTTCATACCAAAATCCTCAAATTTCAGCCTTCTGTGTAGCTACACAATTTTCACATTTTGAGTGTCTCTGTCTTCTATTATGGTAGAAAAATCTATGATAAACGTAGTTTTCAGGATATTCTCACAACATTGACAGTGTACATATGGGAAGTGCAGTGTTTGTAGTTTTGTGTTTGGTTAGAAATGGTCATGTTGAGCTGAGTTTTCATTGGATAGCCATTAAATAAAAGATAACTACACAACTTTAAGCCTTACTATTCTTAAAATAAGGAGTCTTATTTGTTTTTTGCAACCTTGATTTTGCATAAGGGCTTTAATATACCTTTATGTTTAAGCAAAGGTAAATTATATAATAAATGATAGACCACACAAACTGTAATTAATATTCTTATTTCCATCTTATATATTCTTATTTCCATCTTATAATTTACTCTACTCAAAATGATTTCAAAAGAAGGCAGCTGGTTTAAGTCTCAGTTGAGTGACCTTCAGCTCAAAGGTCTTAAGACAACTGTTTAACTCCAAAGGCATAAAATATCTGCATGACTGATAAATGCAATGACATTTTCAACATTAGCATAAGATTTGAACTTTGTGTCCAGTCATCTGGGATGGGGGACTTTTGCATGTTGGGTTTCTTTTTCTTCCTGTTTATTTTTCAAAGGCCTACCTTGAAGCATAAACTTCAAGAATACAGCAGTTCAAAGACCAGAAAAGAGCCCCTAAGAGAAGAACATTTCAGAGCAAAACTCAATTAAATTTTACCTTTCAAACTTTAAAAGATCTGGAGTTGTTCCATTTCCTTCTTACCTAAATTAAATTGGATCCCCAAAGACAAAAATAAAGCTACAAAGAAATATATTGGCCAAAGCACAATTACATTCCATAAACCAGGTTCAATTACAGCACATCTCATTTATTCACTGTAACATAAATATATTCATGCTTCACAAATTGGTATTTATTGATTCAACAACAAAAATAGTCTGTTAGAATTCAAATTAAAGAAAAATCACCAAATCTCAAATTTTGTGCTTTAAGAAAGCATATTTCATGTGATGTAGGAAAGTCAAATACACTCAAGTCAAACTATTCATGATTAGCTTAATTCTCATCATATTTAAACATCCAATAAAATGATATTCATGAAAGATAGATTTACTAAAATATTGCTTTGCAAAAGAAATAACACAGTGAAGTGTTTTTTTCTATCACAAATTACTGGTGCTCAATGATAAGGTTCCATAGAGTCAAATTTTATAATAAAAAAGTTAATGTGATTTTTCACTGAGCTTTTAGATACATGTTGTTAAAAGAATGCTCAAAAACGTCTAACAGGAAATTGCTTTCATTTGTAGATATATTGATTTTCTACATTTCATTTAACTATACGATATGAGTTGTTAGATTAAGTTTTGGGGAGCCACATCTTTGATGACAATAATTCTGAGAGTCACATAATTTTAGAAAACTAAGAAATTTAAATTACTATGCAGTAACTACTACTCTAAAATTTAAATTACTATTCAGTAATGACATAAGCAATGTTCTGACAGTGCTTATATAATTAGAAGGTAGTCAGACATGTCTACAGGCCAGATTGTCAAACTAGAATATGCATGTTTAAACACAGATTGCCAGGCTCCAGACCCAGGACTGAGATTTACATTTGTAGCAAACTCTGAAGAAAGGCCAATGATGTTCATGATATGAGAACTACTATACTCTAAGAACCATTGGCTTAGACTAACAATAAAATAGTAGTTGTTTATCCAAATTAAGAAAGAAATCTATATCTTATTTCTTTCAATTCTCCTATTAAAAATTATGGTCTGTGAGGTCCTGGTTAAACTGTTACTAATGATGAAGAGCAACTAGTTCAAATGTCTTTAATTTTACTAATGGATCAACAAAACTAGATAGCTCTTTATACCTATTTTGAAAAGCATTTATTATTTGGAAAAAAGTGGATTTTTTTCAATCCATATATCATTCAGTTTTCCAAAAGTTTGCATTTAAATCATTAAATTTTAATTTAGAAACATAATCATATCTATTTTTTAAAAAAAAGAAGAAATAGGGCTGGGAAGGTGGTTCAGTGGTAGAGTGCTTGCCTTGCATGCATGATTAGCATGAGGCCCTGGGTTCGATTCCTCAGCACCACATATGCAGAAAAAGCTGGAAGTGGCACTGTGGCTCAAGTGGTAGAGCGCTAGCCTTGAGCTGAAGAGCTGAGGGACAGTGCTCAGGCCCAGAGTTCAGTCCCCACAACTGGCAAAAAAAAAAAAAAAAAAAGAAGAAGAAGAAATAGTCTTTGATACTGTTTCTGACCAAAAAAAAAGTAGTGTCTTAAATCCTTGGCATGACAAACTATGGATGGCCTACCCCCTTCCAGAACTCCTCTAATTGGACTCTTTATGTTTTCCTCCCAAAGAAGCTAATACTACCTGGGTTGACAAACAGAGTAAATGTATTGGAGGAACTGCCAAAGGTATGTGGGAAAGAATGACCTTTCCGTTGGCTGTTTGTTAAACAGAGTTTCAAAATAGACAATGAAGGAGAAAATATAATTTTCCTGCCGTCCAGCTCCTGAGCACTGGAGAGAATGTTTGATTCTTGAGTACCAATTGCAGTGAAAGACAAGGTAGGCTCCGTCAGTGGTTTACACAGGCAGGTGAGACAGGTGTTGGCTGTTAGCAGACAGATCAGGAGTAGACTGCACAGTTGGCTGCTGCTCACCAGCAAAATTAATAAACACCTGAAAGAAATAATGAAGATAACTGCTAACTCCCATGAACACCCAACCTTACCAGCTCAACTACAAGGGAGACATTGTCTCAGAACACTGCTCAACAAACCCCCAAAGCCAGAAATCACACATCTGTATCATCCTCTCTTTCATCATCATGAATGTGTAACTGTATTAAGGATTCACCTCTAAGACTGATTCTACTAATAAATCACCTTGAAATTCTCAATAATTGGAGCACAGTTTAAAAACAAAAGAAGTTGTGGTATGACTTTAAACTTCAGGTACTCTTAGTAAAGCAAATATTTTTAGTTTCCTCCAGAGTCAGCGATCATACAATTACTGCAAAGTCCAGTTACTACTGCAGGGACTAGATAAAAAGGTGAGGGATGAGTTAATACAACTTACTAAGTGCCCAATACAACTATGAACAATTTGAAGATACAGAGAGAGAGAAAGAGAGAGAGAGAGAAAGAGACAGAGAGAGAGAGAAAGGAGAGAGAGAGAGAGATTGTTGGAATTTTGTCAGATTAATTATAAGAAGTGGTAAACTGAAGGAGCAATACAGATTATTTAAAGAATCAGCTACATTAGATCTGATGAAGCTACCAAAATTCTACTTGCTCAATCATTCCAAGTACCATACCTGTTCCAATGTGGTCTGATTAATGGAATAATGCTTGATGTTCAGGAGAGTCTTATTGTTCTCTAGAACTTTGAATAAGTCAGCTAAACACTCCCATGTTTTGGGAACATGGTATTCCAATAAATTATGGCACTGTCCCTAGAGGCCAAAAAATAAAAGAATCATAATTTGTGACTATTAAAGTTAAACACAGTACATTTATTTAAAACATATATTAAAATACATAAGCCACATATGTAAGTACCAATGAGATGTGCAGGTTAGCTTTATGAGCTACCAATGAACACTTATTGATGAGCATTTAACCCAAAGCATAAATATGCTAAGTAGCATTCACCTGGGTTGAATTACTGTTCTGTCTCTTATGTGCTCCACCTTGCTATGAGTGTCAGGAGGTCATCTTGTAGGCCACAAGTTGCCTATAGATGTTCCACAAACAGAAAGTTATGTGCCATGATAGAGGCATCTGGAGGTACACAAACTCCACATTCAGACACATGGTTTATAGCTCAACCATTGCCCTCTCCTTTAGTAGAGCAACTGGGCAACTCTTGGCAGAATGTGTAGCCATTCTGATCCTTATTTTCCTGTATTCTCGTAGACCCAGTGATGACCATCTTACAAAACAATCTAGATGGTGCTGGAGTAGAAATGATAGGCATATTGGCACCATGTTTCTTCCATGGTAGGATTCTAACAAATGACTGACTGTGGATATAGATAAGGAATAGCTACTTATAATGAATAAGAAGGACAATTATTTAAAAGAATTACAAAAGAGTTTCCCAAACTTCTTTCGTGCCAGTACTGGGACTTGAACTCTTGTTTAACATTTTTTGCTGAAAGCTGGTACTCTGCCACTAGAGGCACAGTTCCACTTTTAGATTTCTGTTGGTTAATTGGAGATAAGAGTTGCAGTAAATTTTTGGCCCAGGGCTGGTTTTGAACCTTCATCCTCAGATCTCAGTTTCCTGAGTAGCTGGGATTAGAGGTGGGAGCTAGCAGCACCAGGCTGAGCTTCTCAAACATGAATGTGCATAAGGACAACTTATTTGCCTTAGTAGAATGCAGAGTGACATTCAGTAGGTCAGAACCTGAGACTGCATATCTGAAAGATCCAAGATGATGAAGATGTTGTTGGTCCAGGGGCAAACTTTGGCTATATTAAATTAGAAGAGAATCAAGTTTAAGCACAGGATTCTTCTTGTGAAACAATGTGGAAATGATCAAGCTTATAAACCTTACAGAAAATGTATTGAAGAAATACCCTTTCGAAATCTTCCAAACCAAGCAAAAGGACCTATGCAATGGAACTGTGAACATTGGGTAGAAAGGTTACTGTGCAGTCACAGTCTACTGGGCAGGCCTGGAAGGGTCCACACAGGCTTTCACCTCCACAGTGGTCAAGAACACCAGCCACCCTAGCTATTCATGGGAGGGAAACTGTTCAATGTATAGCAATGAAGCAATTAGAGAACAATTTATACAGTTGAGAATAAAAACAAAGCCAAGTGCATGTACAAGATGTTGCCATCTAAAATTAAAGAGACGATGCAGGATATTATTTCTACCTTAAACTGGATTCCTGGAAAATGGAGCTTTAAATGGTCAGAAATAGTATCAGGTTGATCTGCTTCCTTTGAGAGCCAAATTTTGACTGTGTAACCATCACCAAACCTGAGAATTACATAGAATAAAATATAGTTAGCCAGGCACTGGAGGCTCACACCTGTAATTCTACCTACTCAGGAGGCTGAGATCTGAGGATCACAGTTCAAAGCCAGCCCGGGCAGGAAAGGCGGTGAGACTCTTATGTCCAATTAATGAACAGAAAGATTATGCATGAAAAACAGATTGCATTGTTCTATGTTTTAAAAGCTTTGTAAAGCTAAGGATGTGGTTGGAATTTACTTAGGAATGTTCTCCTGGAAAAATATTTTCCAAAATGAAACTTAATTCATTTTCTTTTTTTTTGTTTTTTATTGTTAAAATGCTGTACAGAGGGGTTAGAGTGACATGAGCAAGATAATGAGTACATTTGTTATCCAGCATTGATGCCACCTCCTTTGTTTTCCCCCTATCATCCCTTCCCTCCTACCTCCACAACGACTCCCCCCCCACCGAAGTTGTAAAGTTCATTTTCAACATAGTGTTTTGTACATCTCATTGTTACAATGGGTCAATCTGTATCCTTATTTAAGCATTTTGTTTTTTCCCTTCCTCTCCCCAAATTGGAGAAGTGTATATACAAGATGCAAGACACCGACATCAAATACAGTGAAAATGGGGGTTTTACCATAGGGGAGGAGCATACAAAGCAACAAAAAAATCACGTTACGTTATAAATACGTTACAAACAATAGCAAGAAAGAAAAAAAAATATTTGTGTGTCTATCTTGGGTTTCATTTCACTTAACATCATCTTATATGGTCATATGTACATGGCTTTTGGCCTTTTCTGCTTGTCCTACACATGTACTTATTATTGCAAATAAGGAAAACCATGGGACCTGTGTTTCTTTGGGCCTGGCTTACTTCAATTAATATAATTTTTTCCAAGTCGTTCCATTTCCTAACAAATGGGTATTGAGTAGTAAAAGTTACAGGTCCTGAGTTCAAAAACGAACTTTACAACTTCGGCGGAGGGGGGGGGGGGGGGTTGGGCGCGGATGGGAAGGGATGGGAAGGGGAAACAAAGGAGGAGGCAACAATGCTTGATTAGAAATGTACTCATTATCTTGCCCAAGTAATTGTAATCCCTCTGTATGGTATTTTCACAATTAAAAAAAAAAGGTCCTGAGTTTAAGCCTCTTTATTCATGCATACACATACAAACACACATACACACACACACACACACACCATATTCTGTGTCAATTTCAAGGATTTGAATAATGTATAATACATTGTTTCCAATAAACCACTCAGAAAACTAGAAGTGGTTTGGTGGCTGAAATGGTAGAGCACTAGCCTTGAGCTAAAGGGCTGAGGGACAGCACCCAGGCCCAGAGATCAAGCCCCATGATCTCAAAAAAAGAAAAAAGAAAAAGAAAAAAAAATATACTTTACTTACATTAGGCTAGTATATATGTGTGTATATATATATATATATGTGTGTATATATATATATATATATATATATACACACACACTAGTATATGTGTTATATATGTATATATAATATATGTACATATACTATATATACATATACATATACTATATATATATATATATATATATATATATATATATATATATATATATATATTACAGGCCTTGAAGCAATAATGTGTCCCAGGGCTCTGGCCTGGCTCTAAAAACCTAACTCAGCACTTTGCTCTCATAATTTTTATTTTCACTTCCCTCGTTAATTGACCAGGTGCTAGTTTTTGGATTCTCTGATTTTGTTTTAAATCAGTGTCTGTTTAAATCAGTGTCTGTGTCGATATAAATGGGTATATATGTTATATATGTATTTATATCCTTAAATATGTTATACATGTGTATATATAACATATATATGTATATAACACATATATACAACATGTTATATATGTATATATAACATGTTATATATACAACATGTTATATATACATATATACATATAATGTTATGTATGCATATATAAAACATATGTTGTAATGTATTCATATATGAATATAGTTATATATTAATATATATTTACTTACCTTAGGTTACATATAAAAAGGCTATGTATGTAAAATTATGTTACATATATATAGCCTATGTGTTTATATATTATATTATATAAATACTTATATGTAGAGAGAGAGAGCCTAAGATAAGTAAATTCTAAGTTCATTTGCACAAAAAGGCTGAAAAGACTATATCAAATTGTTGAAAGATTTTGGATTCTCAAGTATAAAATATGGAAAAATTAATGTAAGTTAATTTTATAGTCATTGTTTCCCATTTATATTTACACAGACACTGATTTAAACAGATACTGATTTAAAACAAAATCAGAGAATCCAAAAACTAACACCTGGTCAATTAAAGAGGAAAGTGAAAATACAACTTATGAGAGCAAAGTACTGAGTTAGAGAGGTTTTCAGAGCCAGGCCAGAGCCCTGGGAAGCATTATTGCTTCAAGGCCTGTAATGATTAAAATGTGGCTAGGAGCACATGAAAGGGAATGCATAAGTAATTTAACCAGGCCCCTTAAAAACAACTCTATGTAAAAGAAATTCCCCAGTTGTATTTCAACTCAGCCTTAGTGGGCAGTCCCACCATGAAAGGCACAGCATTCATCCCAAGAGATCTATTTGTGAAAATGCAAAGGCAATGTTATTGGTCAATCTACTACTGGTGTCCAATCAACAGTGAGAGGCTATATTCAGACCCTAGCATAATCTTCCACTATCATCTCCAGGAATGAAGATTAATCTAAAAGTAAATTATTTTATTCTCTCATTCTAGATACCTAGCATGGTATTGGGCACAGAACCTAAACATTACTATTTATTGGGGGGAGCTGTTTGTTTTCACAGCAAATCTCAATAAAAATCTGATTAGTAAGAAGTAAAAATAGCCAACAAACACATGAAAAAATGTTGAACATCTCTGGCCATAGAAAAATTGCAAATCAAAACAACATTGAAATTTCCAAATCAGCCATTTAGAAGGGCCATCATCAAGAATGCAAAAAATAACAGATGTGGGCAAAAAGGAAACCTAAGATACTGTTGGTGGGAATGTAAATTCGTTCAACCTCTCTGGAAAGCAGTATGGATGTTCCTTAAAAATCTAAGCACCAATTGCAACAATGAGATGTACAAGATGCTATGTCGAAAAACGAACTTTACAACTTTGGCAGGGTGGGAGGGGGGAGCGTAGTCATGGAGATGGGAGGGCAGGGAAGGTAGGGGAAAAACAGAGGAGGAGGCAACAATGCTTGATAAGAAATGTACTCATTACCTTGCTCATGTAATTGTAACCCCTCTGTATGGTATTTTCACAATCAAAAATTTATTAAAAATAATAGTAAACACACACACACACACAACAACAACAACAACAACCCTATGATGCAATTCCATTCTTAAGCATTCATCCAAAAGATTACAAACCAAGATGTCATCAAGCCACTATGGCAACCATGTTCACTGAAGCACCATTCACTGCAGCCAAGGTATGGGATCATCCCAGATGCCTCTCAATGAATGAGTGGATCAAGAAAATATGGTATATATACATACACAATGGAATTTTACTCATTCATTAGAAAGAATACATTGGATTATTTTCAAAGAAATGGAAGTATCTGAATATTATATTAAGTGGAATAAGTTCATTCCAGAGAGAGAAAAGATATGTTTTCTCTCATATGTGAAAGCTAGAATGAGTTAATAAAATATACATATACATAAAATTCAAATATATGAACTTAAATGTGGTAGATTCAAGGGAGAACTCAAATAGGAATTCCTTAGAAAGGCTAAATCATATTTCAAAAAATAAACACAAGAAATTGATACTTGAAAGGGGTGGAGTGAAACAAGGGGAAAGGAGTAGATGAATGAAGAAATGAAGAAAGGGAGAATGAGTCAAGAATTCAATGTATATCCTACAAAATTAAGAAAAGGGATGGAAAGCATGGGTTGGGAAGGATAGGAAATAATGTTGAAAGGGATGACATTGATCAAGATGCACTGTATTCATAAACTACTTTGTTCAATCCAACTCCCTTATATAACTATTTAATACTCTCTATATATACTTCACAATGTATAGAATATGTGTATATAAATATATAAACAAAACCATGGAAGAACTTTGATAGCTTCTAGCTTGGTACCTAGCACCAATAAGTAATCAAAGAATGAATGAATAAGTGGCATGCTCAAGTCTTACCATTTTAATTTCTTACAAAGCATCAATAAACAAAGATATGTTCTACTTTAGTAACACTTGCCTACATGAGGCTTCCCATAATGCATTTGTGATTGGACTGTTGTTATGAATCTCTGTAGTGAAGGCAGAAGGATGAAGGTGGTATGGGCTAGTTTCAGTGATGCAGATCACCTTGTGAGCACCCTCAGAACAATTCATCCTGGGGAGCTGTGGTCCTGTGTCTGCCTTGCTTTCTGATGGTTTCTAAGCTACACGTGGACAAGAAATACACTAATAAGTATACATGAAAGCACAAAAGTACATCCTTGACACTGTGTTTAGCTGTCTCTGGGAATCTTTCAAAGTCAATATAGAAGTGTCCTCTCCTCTGTCTTCAGGTGTGTAGGGGCGTCAGAACCTGAGCTGCTAAGTAATAGGGTTCACCCTACTCTGTCTTTACTAAAACTTCCAGAGTAGAGGGACACGCCAGCAGTGCATGAAAGAAAAAGATAAGGTCCAAAGCATTACAGGAGTTTCCAAAATGAATAGTTCTGTTTCTGGAGCTTTGCAACCCTTCCACAGAGAGATATCAGCTCTATGGTTACAACTCTGGGTTGTGAAGTGTGGCTGTTGATGGTAAAGACATGTTCTCAATGATTCATATTACATGACATGTAACGTTTTGCTCTACAGACTCTGAGTCCCAACAACAAAGTTTGAAATCAGCTCTTTCACATACAAGACAAATGCCCCTGGAAAGTAAATGAACTCTCTCTTCTCAGTTCCCTCATCTAGAAAATGAAATTACAACAGCCTGATAAGG